CTCTTTCTTTCTTTCCTCTCTCTCATTTCTTTCTTTTCATTTTTGAATAAATATATAAGTGCCAGTTCTGTGCCACATGTTGAATATCCATGTTTCAGGTGGGAAGGCAGAGGTTAGAGGTTAGCAAAGATCAGTAGAAAATATACCCTGATGAATCAGAAATGTATTTTCACCAAAGACATTTTATAATCTGTAGGGAGATTAGAGAGAAGTATGGGGTATAATACACCATATTTCAGGCTTCTTGAATTCTTCAAGCTTCAGTTAAAGAATCTTTATTGATCCCTTTACATAAATGAGGAAAGTGAGACTCAGAGAGGTTAAGATTATTCTCATAATCCCATGGGTCCATCAGCCACCATGCACCCACATCTTTCTGCTTCCTTAATAGAAGAAATATAGCCATTCCTAAATGGCTGTAGTGCAATGGGGACAGGACTCAGTCTTATAAGAGAGGTATCAGTATAACATGATATGGGAATGCAGAAGAAAGAGAGATCCCTTTCAGCTAAGAGAACCAGAAAATAGCTCTAATATAGCTCCTTGGGAATGCTGTAAGGTGTATTCGCTCTTCCCCAGACCAGGGAGCTCGCCTCGGTCTTCTTTCCATGTAAGTGAAACATCTCTAGTTTTTTCACAAATATCAAAGGCTAAAGCACCCAAGAGAGAGGATTGCCCATTAATTTCCATTCAAAATCAAAGCATTGCAGGGAGGGAAGGAACCAATCCTCCTTCGATGACACTTTGACAAGTGTTCACTCAGCTTGTGCTCAAACATCTTCAGTGACAGAGAGCTCACTACCTCATAAGGTAAGACAATTCTGAACAATTCTGATTATTGCCAAAATTTATTCTTCCTGTCAAGCCACACTGTTTTCCTCCCACTGGTTCCATATTCCGCAGCTTGGAATAGGATCAAACCAGTAGACACCCATGACCACAATTGCACTACAGATGCTTGAAGATGCTTTCACATACTCCCCACTGCTTTTCTTCACCAAACTATATGTCCTGGTACTTTATAGTGGTATAAAGAGGTAATGCGACAGGTACAAAGTACACTGGCTCTAGAAATACACTACTGAGGTTTGAATCCTGGCTTACCACTCACTAATTGTAAACCTTTCATCAATTTGTGTCACTGAGCTTTGGTTTCTTGATCTGCAAAATGAAGATATAATATCTACCATAGAGGTCTATTGCAGAGATAAACAGCAATAATCCATATAAAACCATTATCAAATGCCTCAAATATAGTAAGCATGTAGAAAATGTCATCTAGTGTGCGAGGGATCCTTTTGAAATCCTATGTAGTAAAGTATTTCCTCCATGTTTGGGGACAGAAAGGAACGAACAGAGAATTCATTTTGAAGGGTATGGCACTGAGGCACTTAGGAGCTTGAGACAGGCACAGACGAAGTGAAATGTCTCAGGTGGCTTCCTATTACCCCATAGAGCAGAGATTCTCAAAATTTAGCATGCTCCAGAATCTTCTAGAGGGTTTGTTAAAACACAGAGTATGGAGCCCTACCCCTGGAGTTTCTAGTTCAGTAGGAACTGTCCTCAAGTTCACTGTCCTCAAGTTTAAATGGTGATGTATGACAAATTAACAATGATTTTTCCTGAGCACTGTGCAAATGCATTGTATGTGTTACCTCAAAAAGTCCTCCCAACATCCTCCAAGGTAACTTCATAACCGTTTTCTCTTTCGAGATGAAGAAACTAACTTTGGAGTTTTGGTAACTTACCCCTTTTGACACAGTGGCAGAGCTGGGATTAAAATCTAAGTTTGATTGCCCCAAAGTGTGTGCTTTTAATTCTCTTTTAGCAAATGGTCAAACTGAGGTACAGAGAAATTAAATCTTGCCTAGGTCACACATGAAATAGATGGTTGAATTAGTTTTCAAATCTAGATCAGTTTGACCCCAAGGTCCAAGGCCTTAGCTCAAGCTACTGTGCGAGGCAGAGTATGTTTAAGGCTGTATCCATTCCAGCATGGAGCCTCTACCCTGGTGCATGATTTTCATTTTGTCCTTTTCTTTTTGCTTGACTTCACTAGGTAATTGCCTCCTTTCTCCAGGCACTTGATAGGGTAGACACGGTCTTCCTGGGGATCAAATGACCACAGAAGGAAAATAACTTAGAACAGGCAGTTCTTCATTCTTCCTCAGCTGGTGTTTTTCCTTCAGAGCCTGGAAAGAAATGTGGCCTCTGCACACTTTAAATTGGACCATCAATTACTTGTGCCCTGAATATGTAAAGCTCATTAGGGCTGTGTTGGCCACTGTAGAGCACCTGGCCTGAGAAAAGTAAACTTGCCTCAGCGATTTCAATTTGGGCCACCCCTCAGAGTGGAGCCCAGCCTGGGCTTGCCAGGCACTAATGTGACCAATTATTTCTGTCCTCAGTTACTAGGTCATAAATCCTGCCTTGGCACCAAGTCCCTGGTTTCTGGTGGAAGAAGGTTTGGTTTTAGGAATGACTCTACCTTCTGGCTGTGGAGTGGTGTGATGTTGTGGTTAAGACTCTTGGACTTGAAGCCAGAGTGTTGCTGGGACCTCATTATGGCCTGTCAATAACTAGCTGTGTGTGATGGTCATATCCTCATTCTACTCAACTATAAAATGGATCCAGTACTTTCAAAGGTTGCTCAAGTGACATCATATTTGAGAAAAGAAGCCAGGCATCTTGAAGGGGCCACTGAGGTTATACACCTGGATGATTCTCACTCTTCAAT